GTGTGAAAGCAGTCATAGATGAATGAGTGCAGCTGTGCTCCAGTAAAACTCTACTCATGAAAACAAGCCTGCATTTGGCCTGCAGGCGAGGGTTCGCTCCCTCCTGTATTTCATGTTTCTTGAAGTTTTCAGAGCTTAAGGAAAACTGAGGTCAATTTTGTCACTGCTATGTGTGAGTCAATTGACTCATAAAAAGGAAAGTGACCCGTTCAAGGTCATACCTTATGATGGAGCCAGATGGGCAAGCAACTGATTGGAGCGAAAGCCCTGTGTTTGCTATTTGTTACTTTCAGTCTGCGATGACATACTGTCTGGAATTGAATTATAAACTCTTTGGTACTCTCTGCTTTTTTCATGTTCAGTTACTTTATGTGAGTTCAACTACTGCTGCTACACATGGAGAGATGGCCCACGCTGTTTTCATTTTTTTAAGTTCAACCCAAAATAGAACAGTCCAATGCATGGAGGAAGAGCTCAATAAATATTTATGATTAATGTTTCCATGGAGAAAATATAGTAAATGTAGCATTTTTCTTAATTACATGGTTATAGATTATGTGTCAGTTTAGAAAAATGTCAGATTTTATAATCTATGACAAAAATAATTTTGTATATGTTTTATTTTACTTTATCTCAATATTTATTTTTCTGTATTATTTTTAAAATTACAGATTTTAATTGATTTGTAAAGTTAATGAGCAATTTAAATTTGGCATTAAGATGTTCAATTGTTACAGGAGTCGAACTTTTTAAAATATAATAAGGATAAATTATCCTCAGGTTTTATTCTACTCTAAATTTAAATAGCTAATGGATCATTTAATCAATCTTCATTTTAATTGCTTTCAGTACTACAACATATATGCAATGAATGCTTACTCTTCTTTTTTTTTTTTTTGGACAGGCAGAGTGGACAGTGAGAGAGAGAGAGACAGAGAGAAAGGTCTTCCTTTGCCGTTGGCTCACCCCCCAGTGGCCACCGCGGCCAGCGCACCGTGCTGATCTGATGGCAGGAGCCAGGTGCTTCTCCTGGTCTCCCATGGGGTGCAGGGCCCAAGCACTTGGGCCATGCTCCACTGCACTCCCGGGCCACAGCAGAGAGCTGGCCTGGAAGAGGGGCAACCGGGACAGAATCTGGTGCCCCGACAGGGACTAGAACCCAGTGTGCCAGCACCGCAAGGCGGAGGATTAGCCTAGTGAGCTGCGGCGCCGGCGAATGCTTACTCTTACAATACATGTTATTCATTATTATTTGGTACTAGCAAGTGATATTAAACAGCCATAGACAGGAAAATTTCTCCCAGTGTGATGCTTTAATTCTAACATGGTTCATCTCATTTCCTCCCGATCCGTACTCCGATGTCTCCTGACAAAGGCGCCTATTTCTGACCACGCAGCATAAAACAGCAAATCCCTCCAGCCATTCCACCACCGACCCCTGCTCCCATTTTATATTTGATGTTCTTCAGTGGTATTCATAAACACCTCATACTATAAGTTGACATTTTGCTTATTATTCTATTTCTTCCCAATAAATCATAAGCTCTGCAAGGGTGGGCGATGTCAGTTTTGTCTTCTGCTGTGCCTCTCGTGTTTGGCACCATGTGGATGCCTGATACATATTTCAGTGGGCGAAAATGAGTGAACACAGTAGACTTTTAAGACAACAGGAGCACTAGAAGCAGCATTCCAGTTAAAACACAGATTATGCCACAATTGTAAAACATATCTTTTTAAGAATCAGAAAATAGGAGAATCAAATATATTTTAATTGTTTACCTGCATGAAACTGAGGAGTAAATTTTAACAGTTAATGTGGAATCTTTCAATTTATATTACAACTTTTTGAACTGATACTTTTTTTCTTTAACAATTTTAATTATAAAAGTCTTTCATGTTCTCAAAAAATGGAAAACCAGAAGGCAACAGTCTGTCAGTACAAAAATATACAACTGGAAGAGATTACCACCAACCAGATCTGACAACTAAATCCCAGTCCACATCCCGAAAATAAAAGCACATTTAGATAGAGGACCCAGCCAGTGGGTCTTATATGTCTGAGTGTCATCACCTAGAACTCTTCCCGTATCACAGAGCTGGGCCATCCTGGAAAGCTAACCTAATGATCCTGGAACCCGGCTGTGTGTGGGCAGGAGGGAGGTAGAGTAGGAAGAATCGCTGTTTTCCTAAATTTGTATATATGGAATGCATGAAATTTGTATTCCTTAATAAAATTTAAAAATAAAAAATTTCATATCTCTATGATCAATGTCATAAGTGATTAAGCAGTACTGTACTCAGATGAACCAGAGCTCCTCAATAGAAGCTATTTGTCAATAGATTATGCACTGAATGTGAGCCACAATTGATTGCCATCTAACAGGTGGCGATGCCACCTAGAGATCCCATATCTCTTTAACACGACCTGTATGATGTTCGCGTGGGGCTGGTGCCGTGGCTCACTTGGTTAATCCTCTGCCTGCAGTGCCAGCATACCATATGGGCACTGGGTTCTAGTCCCAGTTGCCCCTCTTCCAGTCCAGCTCTCTGCTGTGGCCCACGAGGGCAGTGGAGGATGACCCAGGTGCTTGGGCCCCTGCACCTGCATGGGAGACCAGGAGGAAGCACCTGGCTCCTGGCTTCAGATCGGCGCAGCACCGGCCATAGCGCCGGCCATTTGGGGAGTGAAACAACGGAAGGAAGACCTTTATACTCTGTCTCTCTCTCACACTGTCTAACTCTGTCAAAAAAAAAAAAAAAAAGATGTTCACATATATAGGTGGTAGATTAAGGCTATGAACAGCTAATAAAAACTTTCGCTAATTTTGTTTTCAACTTTTTGCTTCAGCTGTAGATCGCAGAAGCAACCACAATGGGATTATGAACCATAGAGCAAATACTCTCAAAATATGAAAACTCCATGGATACCTACTTAAATTATCAGCAAGCAATAGTGACCTTCAATGAATACTGTAATCATTATACACTATAAGGCAAATGATTCTTTTAAAACAAATTTTATGTCCATATTTTCATTCCTCTGTGTTTAATTTTCTGGGGAATAGAGTCATAGAGGCATGGCATATTTCTCAGAGGCATTTACAGCTAAAAAATAAGAAATCTATTCTGAGATAATGGATTTGTTCATTTTAACTTCAGATTTGTACACACTTGAGTGGTGAGATAATGATAATTCATTTCTTTGGTGTCATTAGGGACATAACTTCATTTAAGTGAATTTTCAAGAAAACTATTTCTTCTATTAATTTTTTTCTGTGTAAATATATGAGGTAGATACCATTCTAGAATATTTAGTAATTCAATCCCCTGCCCTTTTTTATTTTTTGACAGGCAGAGTGGGCAGTGAGAGAGAGAGACAGAGAGAAAGGTCTTTCTTTTACCGTTGGTTCACCCTCCAATGGCCGCCGCGGCCGGTGCGCTGTGGCCGGCGCACCGCGCTGATCCGATGGCAGGAGCCAGGTACTTCTCCTGGTCTCCCATGGGGTGCAGGGCCCAAGCACTTGGGCCATCCTCCACTGCACTCCCGGGCCACAGCAGAGAGCTGGCCTGGAAGAGGGCAACCGGGACAGAATCCTGCACCCCTACCAGTACTAGAACCCGGTGTGCCGGCACCACAAGGCGGAGGATTAGCCTAGTGAGCCGCGGAGCCAGAAATACCCTGCCTTTTTAAGTAGAGTTCTGAACATGTGCAAACATTTACTGGGAATTCAAGACCACTTGTCTAAGAATTAAGTGTGGCCATGTTGTAAGTTGGCATTGTGCTTCTCTGCTCCTCCTGCCCTCTGGTCAGTTGGTTCTTTATTCCTTCATTCAATGGACCATTTTATATCCTGTGCCGACTGAGGGAGAGGTGAGCGTGGTAGCAGGTGGACAGGGACTGTGGAAGGTCAGCAGCAGCAGCAGGTTCTGTTGCAGGGGCTGCAAAGACCATGGTGAGGGAACAGTGATGGAGGAGGCTGTGAGGGCCACTGTGGGCCATTCCAAACAATTGTGAGTGGGAGCCAGTTTCTCTCTCACTTTCATGGGTATCTCTTCAGGGGCCAATGGAGGAACGAGGAAAGCTAGTCTATGCCAATAACAGAGACTTCTGAAGGCTCCACGAGTCAGGTCTGCAGCTGTGATGTGAGGTGACGAGCCAGGATGGTGTGCTACTCCAGAAGATACAGTCCTTAACGCAATGTGCCAGAGAGGAAGATAAACTGAGACGTGATGGCAGAGTTGAGTCCTGGACACTTTACTATTAGGGACATGTAGACTTTGGGAAAAGGAGAAGACTTTAGCAGACGAATTAGGGAACAAGCAGCTAGTGAGGAATGAAGGAAACAATATTAATGGTGCACAACATGTTAGAAATAGAATTGCTGTATTGCCTGGTTGCAATATTGGTTCAAAAGGGTGGGAAATGATTAATTTTTCTGGCAGTAATACTTTCTAAGCCAGTGATTATTCTGAGTTCTCTCTTACAAAACCTGATTATTTCTTTCTGTCTTTCCTGCTTTTTAATTGTGGTAAGAACAGTTAGCACGAGATAGAACCTCTTGAATTTAAGTATACAATAGAGTGTTACTCTATAGGCATGGTGTGGTAGACCAGATCTCTAGAACTTATTCCACTTTTATGACTGCAGTACTACACAGGTCAAATACTTCAGAGAGTTTTCAGGAGATGCCAAATAATAAAACTTGTTCGGTAAACAACCTCAGTTCTACTCGGGATTCTTAGAAAGACAGTCTGAGTTGAAGTTCTTCTGAATAGTATTTTGTTGCAGATACATTAAGAAACTCAAGGCAGTGTTTAAATTGCTCTTCTGATTTGTTATAATTATCGTAACTGCTTTACCTAAATTCTGATCAGTTGACAATGTTGTTTCATAGGCTTGAAAATTTGTACTACATTAACTATTTCAATGATCTCATATCAATAATTATTTAAAGATCTTTACTGAATCCCTCTGTCTCCTTTTTTTTTTTTTTTTTCAGAAAAATGTGATGAGCCCCTCGTCTCTGGACTCCCCCACGCAGTTTTCAGCAGCTCTTCATCTATGTCTGGTAGCTACTCTCCCGGCTATGCCAAGACGAACAAGCGAGGGGGTAAGAGAAATGTTGATTCCTTTGTCAATCATTGTGGTTGGAAAGAGCCCTATTTTACTTGTGACTCCATTTTAAATATATTAATGTCACATAACGGACATTAGCAGGTACCTAAAATTATTGCTGCCACTTCTTCCAGAAGATCCACAGATAGTGTGACTCTCTCATGTAACCCCTATCAGGAATAACAGAAAACATATAGGCTGGAAATGAGGCATTGCAAGTCAAAGGAGAAGAAATTCTGGAGTTGCCTGTGGGAACAAATTCAAAATGACATAGACATTCTGAGTTAAGGAATTTCTTGTCAATCTGAAAATCATTTAGAAAAAAGTTACAAAGACTCTCTTCCTAATGTGCTTACACAATATGAAAAAATTCTGCTTCATATCCACTGATTTTTCCCTCTTCTTATTAATGTATAAAGTTTGTTTAGAAAATGCAGAATAATAATGTGTATGGCCCATTTGCTTTTTTTCTTCCAGAGCCCAAAATTTAGCTTTGTTACTAAAACTCAGTAATAAATAGCTGCATGTCTGTGGCTACCACTTAAATTTTGGACTTCAATGTCATGGTATTCATTAGGGAATGGTAATTTCAAACTTGACAGCATTTCACAGAGAGTAAGCAAACATGATTAGAGGCAGAAACATAAAACTCCTAACCATCAAAGGGAGGCTGATACAAATATCTATGAAAGACAACTTGAAAAGGAAAGAAACAATATTTTATTGGGAAAACATAAATCCACCAGCAAGGACCATAATTCTGTATTCAGTAAAAATAGGAATGGTTGTTGCCAGGGGCTGAAGTGAGGAGAGGGAAGAAATGGAAAGACGTTGGGCAATCAGTACGAAGTTTTGGTAGCCAAGAAATCTGCTCTACAGACCTTTGGTTCATAGTAATGTATTGTATGCTTGAAAATAGCTAACAGATCTCCAGTATTCTCAGCATGAAAGCAGGATAACTGTGTGAGGTGATGGCTGTATTGATTAGCTTGCGTTAATCATCTCATAACGTATGCACACATCTAACATTCATGTTGTATGCCATACAGACAGAGCATTTTGTCAGTCATACCTTCATAAAGCTGGGGAAAATTAGAAAGTACTAAATCATAAAACAATCTCAAACCACAGCCAGCTCAAGAAATAAAAGGAGTAAATATGGAAGGTAGGAAAGAGCAGAAGGGAGGGAGGGAGGGAGAGAAGAGGAGGAAGAATAATAAACAGAGGTAGAACAATAAAACAAGAGAGGGGCCTGCATGTGGTGTAGTGTGCTAAACCACTTCTTTGGTTGCCAGCATCCCTTATGGGCTCTAGTTCAAGTCCTAGCCACTCCCACTTCTTTTTTTTTTTAAGATTTATTTATTTATTGGAAAGAGTTACAGAGAGGCAGAGGCAGAGAGAGAGAGAGAGAGAGAGAGAGAGAGAGAGAGAGATTTCATCTGCTGGTTCACTCCCCAGATAACTGCAACAGCTAGAGCTGTGGCCATCTGAACCAGGAGCTAGGAGCTTCTTCCAGATCTCCCACACGGTCCAGGGGCCCAAGGAACTGGGCCACCATCCACTGCTTTCCCAGGCCATAGCAGAGAGCTGGATTGGAAGGAAGTGGAGCAGCGGGGACTTGAACCGTGACGATGGAATGTGGGCACTGCAGGTGGCCACTTTTCCCTCTGCTGCACCACAGTGCCAGCCCCATGCTCCCACTTCTCATCTAGTTCCCTGCTAATGGCCTGAGAAAAGCAGCAAAATATGCTTTTCTGGGGCCCCTGCACCCATGTGGGAGATCAGGATGAAGCTCCTGGCTTCAGCCTGGCTCAGCCCTGGCTATTGTGGCCATCCCTGGAGTGAACCAGTAGATGCGAGTTCTTTCTCTCTTTCTTCCTTCTACCCTCCCTTCCTCCCTGTCTCTCCCTCTCTGTCTCTGTAGCTCTTTCAAACTAGTACCGCAGAGAGAGAGGGAGAAGAAGAAAAAAATCCAATAGGAAAAAAAATAGGGAAGAGGGCAAAAATAAAAATGGCAGTAGAAGATGAGAAATAGCTATCAGAGAATAATAAAAAACAAACTGAGAAGAATAAAATAGATAAGAAAAAGATGGAATGAGATGTACACATGATATACTTACAGAAGAGTGAAGAGGTCTTAATTAGTGAAAATAGTTGGTGAAATGGAGATGCAGAGCCCAAAGTAGAAGGACATAAATAAGAAAACACAGTTGTAATTGAATAGTCGTATTATTAATCCATCTTTTTTATAACATATTCATTCAACTGTAGGCCTGAAAGAGTTGGTGAGTTGCTATAAATTATCAAAACTTCTTAAAGATGTCAAAGTAATGGAAATTCTAATGTATTCCTCTCGCATAAAAGTTACTGGAAACAACCGCAAAAATAATATAGATAGAAAAAAATGAAACAAAGCCCTGGCCATATTTTAAACATAATTATGATACAGTTCTGAAATCTGGAGCAATTTATCAAAGGAAAAAGATATGACACATTGTGCATGCAAAGAGGCTATCATATCCCCTAGATATGCTGTGACACTGCGAGACCTACGGCAACTCTGCTGATGGGAAATTTTGGAGGAAAATATGAATGGAGACTATGACTTGCCTGGTGAATTTGGGCATGTCAGGTTATTTCAAGCATCCAGGATTTCAGGAGCATAATTGATACCGTCTAGGCAACAAGGAGTCCAGTGAAAATAAACATTGAAGAAAGCATAGTCGATGACTAATGTTCAGCAATGAATCCATTTCAGTGTAAGGGCAGGACCAAACAACTTAGATTAAATGTGGAGGACAGAATACAAATGTTATATTTGTAAGAAAGAAAAAGTACCAAATATGGGGATTACTTGGATATATGCTTCTGTCCCCAGCCTTTCAGAACAGGAATCAACAAGTGCTACCACTTTAGGTGCAAATGGATTTTTTCTCTAATATCTTTAGGCATATTTCTTGGGAAGAAACAATATGTTTTTTGTTCTCATTCAGTTGTAGTAATGTCATAATAACCATTTTCTTGTTTTAAAATACAAGGTGACACTTTATTTAGAAATACTCATCTATCGACTTACATGTGTAGAGTGAGATACCTGAATTAAACTTACAAAATGTTTATTTTTTAATCTAGATGGTGGAATTTGAGGAATTTCTTTACTTTATAGCAGTCTTCTCTGTGGTTAATAATCAACATATGAAAAGTAGGAAGACCACAGCTGCACAGGAGTATAAACAAGGGCTAAAAATGACAGTCATATCACAAGATATACCATTCCTATACTGTATTTGTATTCTACATTAACTGCCACATATCAGAGAAAACATTTGATATTTGCTTTTTGAGACTGTGCCAAAATTCCGACCTTGTTCTTCCTGTACCTCTTGCAGTAAGCACCCTCTGCTCACAAGGTAGCCACAGATGATTAGTGGGAATGCCTGATCTCAATAGATGTCCTCAGTCTCTCCCTGTTGTATTTGTTACGTGATGCAGATTTGGTCATTGGGAGACCTGGGAGGGGCCACCAGGATGGGCCTTGTAGAACAAGACAAAGTTCCTTACCCTTGATTTGCTTCAGCAGGAAAGATAGATAGCATTTGTAAGCCACATAATCACTGATCACTTCTGGGAAGAATACACACATAACTGACATCTGGAAGGACTGAGAATAAACCTCTTTATGTAGATACCGTACTCCTTAGAGTCTCTAGTCTTTACCTGTCCTTGAAAGCCACTACTGAACTTGATTGTTTCCACACATGCTTGTTCAAGATCATTGCTCTAGCCAGCATCGTTTTCTGCTTCCTGCAGGCCAAGAGAGAGCTTTGGTAAATAGTGGGACACCAACCTCTTTTCAGGTTCACAATTCCAATTTTTTTTTGTACACGTGTGTATATGTGGACTGCCTCTCGCAGACCGCACATGGCCACCAGAGAATCACACCTTCCTCTGCTCTCAAGACTTGTGTTCCTGCTATGCCTGCAAAGCATTCTTTTTCCTTTTATCCCATCCTCCATTCTTTTGTGCTTAAATTTATAAAACACCTACTTTTCTTTCGCTTTCTACTTTTCCCTCCTTTTCAGGGTTAGGTATTAAAAGTGTCCATCACCATTGATTGAGCCCAAACCTGTTCTGATGTGCCGCAAACTGGGAAAGCAGCCACACTCCCTACACGACTCTTGTCCCTGCCTGTACCAGTGTTGCCTCCTGCCGACCCTCTTCTGCTGGCTGTAGTTCCTCGTGTAGCCTCCTGCTCCACGTGGCCCACTCATGGCAGCCAGAATCTGCCGGATTAGGCAGTACTCTTAACCTCTATTAGGAAGCTCTTCCCTTAGGATATAATAACATCAAGTCTCAATATGAAATAAATCCAAGTTCTCAGCGGTGAGCTCCTAATGCAAGTTCTCAAGTGGTAGCGCCTATCCTGTTCTTGTACTTTGCACTATTTTCCCCTTTCTGTTCCTCAGTATCTATCAGCCTGGCATTTTTCTCCATCTGCTACTTTTCCTTTCATTTTTGGAGTGTTGCCTCTCCAAGGAGCACTTACCTCTTAAAGCAGATTCTTGGTAGCAGAAAGACCCAAATGATTGGTTTTCTCATGTAGCATGTTGAGATATCGGGCATCCCATGCTTCTGGAACTTAAATTCCTCTCCTAAAAACACCTGCTCATTTTGCCTGTTCTGAATGTGGGAAGAGAATGAGTTGTATCCATGCTTAACTTGGTTTCCCAACTGAACTGATCATAGAAGAATATGGCATTAAACAGTTGTTTAAACTTCCTGTATCGTATTTCTTATCTCCATGGTAACTATGTAATCTATCAACCAAACGAGGAAGACAGAAAAAGAAGGGCAATTAAAGATTGCATCATCAGACAATCCTCAAGTTATGGTTCCCTTATATTTATAAATAGAATCAATCGTAAAGTTAAGTAGAGAGCTATCTATACAACTGTATTGCATTTGAATGCTAGTCTCTTTCCCATCAATTATTCC